GTAATAATATACTACTCCATATCTCTCGGTCGGACTCGGACGTGCGGGAACGAAGAAAGAACAGAGGCAGATGGACGCTAAGTGCGGGCCCGCTCCGTCAGCCGCATAGACTGAACTGAGCCGACGTTGGATGACGGCCCGCTAGGGTGAGTGAGGGCGCCGGCAAGTCGCAACTAGCTGGTTTGCAGGCTGCAATGTGGGCTGCAGGAGGCGGAGCAGCAGGTGGGCTTGCGTCTGTTGATGGGCCGGTAAGAAAAGTACAATGCCCAAGAAAAGAAAAGGTGTCGGCTAGAAGGAAAATGAAGCTTGCGCAGAGAACTTAAAAATAACTAAAACATTTCTAAGCAATAAGCATTTTTTTTAGACGGTTCTAAGCAATATGCATAGAAAAATTCATAAAACTACAACTAAAAAACATACAAAAGTAAACGATGCAATGACATAAATGCAACAACCATGTATACATTAATGAGTATTAACCTACGTTAATGGTGTTAACGGCGCACGCCTCCGTAAAGCCGCATTAATGTAGACTTTTTGGCGAAGGCAGACGCTTTGCCTGCCTCCATAAACCAAAAACGACCGCCTGCAAAAAGAATATTGTAGTAGTGTTAGGTGGCTCTCCAAATGCTTCACTATCCTCTCTATACATGTGCCGAGTAGGATGGGGTCAAAGAGTAGGTCTAAATGAGGTAGGGGTAGCACTTATATAGAGTTTGAAGAGACTACTAGCGGTGTCAAATAGCTGGGTGACACAGTAATCACTAGATGATTCACCGGGTAAAAAGGGCCACGCTGGATCATAAGGCGGTGTTGTGCTGGCTGATTCCTCAAATGGTTAGTTGGAAATATACTGAAATATCATGTTTGAATATTCCATGTTATCATACGCCGGTGGGTCACACAATCCAACCAAATTATACGGTGCACTATAGAGACTTAGCCAGCTGGTAAAAAAGTCTAGCTCAACCCACCTGATGATCCTCCATGGTTATGAAGTCCTCTGTTGGATCATACGATGCACTCCAATAACCACGGTGACAAGTCATTAAGTGGACATTTACCCCGAATAATCTGCCGAGATCACACAGTCATCTGTTGAATCATATAAAATAACACAGTAAGTCAGGCCAACTATAACGAAGTCTAGCTTAGCTTCACCGAATGAATCGCCAAGGTCATGAAGTCCTCCCCACTGAATCCTATGGCGCCCACTTTGTTACTAGGCTGTCATTTCTGCAGATGATCCGCTTAGGGTCAACCCTATTATCTGGTGCGTGTTCCGACATCGTTGTTTAGCTTGTTTCAAGTCTAATCTCAGCCAATACAACTTCTTTCTTGACTTCAAACCATCTTAATGGCCGGAGCCACTTTCCGCTGTCCACTATACTAAGAGTTAGCCTCGGTGTGCAATACCATGCTCTCGCTTTGACCCTCTCAAGTCGAATGCCTAGCATGGACACCCCCTAATAGTACATCCATCCAAAGAAAAACAAACACCTATTAGACACTACTTAGCAAACGTCCCGATGATCATATCTTACATTTGCTCTCGAGTTTCCTTAGTCTTGTTGATGAAAACACTGCGTAGAAATCGAGCCACGCCGGCCTTTGGTGTGAATGTGATCAGGAACTGAAACCGAAGTGACGATGACGATCACTCTCGAGTCTGAACTTGGTTTCGGCAGAGCCATGGCCCGTGAGGCATATAGCAGGAATCCATCCATCCGCCGCTGATGCTGGTGACTACTCACTAGTCACCACTGCATGCATCCGTGATGCTCCCAGCAAGCATCCATCCTTCTCTGCATCCCCATTCCCCAAGCGCGATACATACAAACGTGTCGTGTGGGACTGATCTGATGGGCATGGAGACGCCACTCTCATCAGGCAGGCCCTTGCTCCATCGACGACAGTTCACATTCACACACACTAGTAGCCGATGCTCGCGTCCTGCAGCAGCGACTGCTGCGCGATGCTCGCGGCAGGCAATAATTGGCGGGCGCCACCAACAGTCCTGCTCGATCTGGTTCGCCCACTGTTTCTCGTTTTCACGGGTGGGTGGGTTCCCGCGAGCCGTCGTTCTCGTCGTCTGATCCGCATGCACAACCGTGATCACTGCGCCCGTCCGGCGATCTCTCTGATTGATGCCGTGCGGATTTTTACGCAACCCCCATCGTCGCCTCGCCGATGTGGCAGAGATTCTGATTCGGCAACGAAGTGTTCATCCTGCAGATGAAAGTGATGGCAGAGGATGGCATTGATGCAGTGATTTTAATTTAATCTGTAGCTGGTGCTGCAATCTCTCTTCTCTCATTCCTGAGTGAGCAATAGGAGGAACAGCGAGCACGCCTGGCCACCTGCAGATTTTTTTGATCTGACTGAACCTACCTCTCAAGTCTGAACTGTTGGCCCTGGACTCTGCGCACCTGATCTGATCAAGGAGAACTCGACCTGATCAGCTAATCCTAAACTGATCTCAACATCCCTGACTTCTTTCCTGCCTGCAGTTTTTTTTTCTCGATCGGATCTTTTATCCGTTTTTCATTAAGAGAAAAGGCCATAAAAAAGGTCAAAATACGGATACAAAGGACTCCCAAGTAATCCAAGGATTACCGACGGAATCCCAAAGACACAAACGAACAGCAAGAAAACTGGAGGGGAACCTCCACCACAACAGCCAAGATTAATTGGTTGGTTGGTGCTTAACAATTAGCATAAACTGCTCAGAGTTTGAGTTATATTAATTTGTGCCTCACCATCCCCTTGCATCTATCTATCTCTGTGTTCCTCATGCCATGCCAGAGCGCTCTGTCTTTTCGAAAATGTAAAAAAAAAAAGATTAGCAATACTGCCATGAGGCATGGACTTGTTTAGCACCAACTTTGAGTGATGCAGCCCTGTTTCACACACATATATGTTGTTCATCTCAGATTTTGTAGCACTGCAAATAGGTTCTCAGATGTTTGCAGCATCTCGTTCTCGTCAGGCACAGCAAGAAGCAACCAGTGCCGCTGACGCATGGGGCCGTCAGACAGACAGAGACAGAGAGACCCACACACAGAGACACAGCCACACAGGTAATGCAGGAAAACACATATATTGAATCAGGCACGAGTCAGACACAGGATCGACGACGACGACGGCGTCGTCGTCAAACCGCGAGACGTTGAGATGAACCCCAGGAGACGGAGACGAGGCAGGCGACCATGCATGAATAATGGCGGTGCACGCAGTTGACAGGATCTTATTTAGACGCCGCTACATAGTTTAGTACGCTGGGGGGTGGTTGTCTCCTTCCTCCTCGTGCGCCATCGCTGGGCTGGCTCAGTTGCAGCTGCAGCAGGTGCAGCCGCAGCTGGTGCCGCACTTGCAGGTGTTGCAGTCGCAGCCGCCACCCTCGGTGGCCGCCTCGAACCCGCCGGCGCTGGCCTTGGTGGTCGGAGCAGCGAGCACCATGGGCTTGATGCCGACGGTGGCGGTGGTCTCCATGTCAGGGGACATCTTGCAGCTGCATGAGGATCATATATACACGTTCAGACATACATGATCATCGTCTACTCGATCGCCATGAAAGCACATTTATGTATATGTATATGTATACGACGATGTGAGGTGAGGATTAGCAATATGTTTTACCCACCCGCCGCACCCGTTGCCGCACTGGCAGCCGGAGCCGCACCCGCAGTTTCCGTTGCAGCAAGACATGATCACAGGCGAAGGGAGCAGGTGCTGCTGCTGTGCTACTGAAGAAGAAGGTCTTTCTTCTTGCTTGTGCTGCTGCCTTGTTGCTTGTGATGAGGATGGCAGGGTGGGCAAGGAGGGGTATAAATAGGCCGGGGCGGCGGAGTGGAGGACGGCAAACGGCAGCCGGTGGCCTGAAAGAATGGACGCGGGCGAGCCAGGGACCACCACGGCACCACCACTGCTTGTTCATCCTGCAGATGAAAGTGACGGCAGAGGATGGCATTGATGCAGTGATTTTAATTTAATCTGTAGCTGGTGCTTCAATCTCTCTTCTATCTTTCCTGAGTGAGCAATAGGAGGAACAGCGAGCACGCCTGGCCACCTGCAGATTTTTTTGATCTGACTGAACCTACCACTCAAGTCTGAACTGTTGGCCCTGGACTCTGCACAACTGATCTGATCAAGGAGAACTCGACCTGATCAGCTAATCCTAAACTGATCTCAACATCCCTGACTTCTTTCCTGCCTGCAGTTTGATTAATTGGTTGGTTGGTGCTTAACAATTAGCATAAACTGCTCAGAGTTTGAGTTATATTAATTTGTGCCTCACCATCCCCTTGCATCTATCTATCTCTGTGTTTCTGATGAAAAAGACAAACTTATTCTTGCCACGGTATGAATATGATGGAGACAGACAGACAGCGAGCTACTACTCGCTCGCTCGAGAGTTTGAGTTATATTAATTTGTGCCTCACCATCCCCTTGCATCTATCTATCTCTGTGTTTCTGATGAAAAAGACAAACTTATTCTTGCCACGGTATGAATATGATGGAGACAGACAGACAGCGAGCTACTACTCGCTGTCTGTCTGTCTCCATCATATTCATACCGTGGCAAGAATAAGTTTGTCTTTTTCATCAGAAACACAGAGATAGATACATGCAAGGGGATGGTGAGGCACAAATTAATATAACTCAAACTCTGAGCAGTTTATGCTAATTGTTAAGCACCAACCAACCAATTAATCAAACTGCAGGCAGGAAAGAAGTCAGGGATGTTGAGATCAGTTTAGGATTAGCTGATCAGGTCGAGTTCTCCTTGATCAGATCAGGTGTGCAGAGTCCAGGGCCAACAGTTCAGACTTGAGAGGTAGGTTCAGTCAGATCAAAAAAATCTGCAGGTGGCCAGGCGTGCTCGCTGTTCCTCCTATTGCTCACTCAGGAAAGATAGAAGAGAGATTGCAGCACCAGCTACAGATTAAATTAAAATCACTGCATCAATGCCATCCTCTGCCGTCACTTTCATCTGAAGGATGAACAAGCAGTGGTGGTGCCGTGGTGGTCCCTGGCTCGCCCGCGTCCATTCTTTCAGGCCACCGGCTGCCGTTTGCCGTCCTCCACTCCGCCGCCCCGGCCTATTTATACCCCTCCTTGCCCACCCTGCCATCCTCATCACAAGCAACAAGGCAGCAGCACAAGCAAGCACAAGACCTTCTTCTTCAGTAGCACAGCAGCAGCACCTGTTCCCTTCGCCTGTGATCATGTCTTGCTGCAACGGAAACTGCGGGTGCGGCTCCGGCTGCCAGTGCGGCAACGGGTGCGGCGGGTGGGTAAAACATATTGCTAATCCTCACCTCACATCGTCGTATACATATACATATACATAAATGTGCTTTCATGGCGATCGAGTAGACGATGATCATGTATGTCTGAACGTGTATATATGATCCTCATGCAGCTGCAAGATGTCCCCTGACGTGGAGACCACAGCCACCGTCGGCATCAAGCCCATGGTGCTCGCTGCTCCGACCACCAAGGCCAGCGCCGGCGGGTTCGAGGCGGCCACCGAGGGTGGCGGCTGCGACTGCAACACCTGCAAGTGCGGCACCAGCTGCGGCTGCACCTGCTGCAGCTGCAACTGAGCCAGCCCAGCGATGGCGCACGAGGAGGAAGGAGATAATCACCCCCCAGCGAACTAAACTATGTAGCGGCGTCTAAATAAGATCCTGTCAACTGCGTGCACCGCCATTATTCATGCATGGTCGCCTGCCTCGTCTCCGTCTCCTGGGGTTCATCTCAACGTCTCGCGGTTTGACGACGACGCCGTCGTCGTCGTCGTCGATCCTGTGTCTGACTCGTGCCTGATTTAATATATGTGTTTTTCTGCATTACCTGTGTGGCTGTGTCTCTGTGTGTGGGTCTCTCTGTCTCTGTCTGTCTGACGGCCCCATGCGTCAGCGGCACTGCTTGCTTCTTGCTGTGTCTGACGAGAACGAGATGCTGCAAACATCTCAGACCCTATTTGCAGTGCTACAAAATCTGAGATGAACAACATATATGTGTGTGAAACAGGGCTGCATCACTCAAAGTTGGTGCTAAACAAGTCCATGCCTCATGGCAGTATTGCTAATATTTTTTTTTTACATTTTCGAAAAGACAGAGCGCTCTGTAATGGCATGATTATATTAGAAGAAGAGGGAAAAACAGGAAAAAAAAACTCTGCGCACGAAGGCAAGGCCAAAGGCCAGCACTGTTAGTCTCTGACGAGATTTTCAAGAATGCAGAGTACCCTGAAAATCTGGAACATCAACATGACCAGCTACAGTTGCAGGCTACTGTTCTTGGTTTTCTCTTTCCCTTTAGATAATGGAAAATTGATATCTGAGCCCCAAAAAAAAGATATGGGTATCTTTGTCCACTTGGCCAGCACAGTTAGTCTCTGAAATTTTTTTGCAGAATGCAGAGTACCCTGAAATTCGAAGCATCAACATGACCAGCTACAGTTCTGGCTACTGTTCTGGATTTTCTCTTCTCCTTTAGATAATGGAATATTAATCTCTAAGTAACTGAGCCAAAAAAAATATATGAATCTCTTTTTCCACTTGGCCAGCACAGTTAGCTCTGAAAAGATTTTGCAGAATGCAGAGTACCCTGAAATTCAAAGCATCAACATGACCAGCTACATTTTCGGACTACTGTCCTTAATTTTCTCTTTTTCATTAGATAATAGAATATCAATATCTTTTTCTAATGGAATAGTGATATCTAACTGAGACAAAAAGAACAGAGATATGAGTATCTTTTTCCATTATGGTATGAACTCTGGATAATCTTGCAAACTTGAAATTTGTTTTTCTTTTTTTCTTTTTCAGAGAGAGAGAGAGAGAGAGAGAGAGAGACTGAGAGACTGAGAGACAGAGAGAGAAACAGCTCATAAGTCATAATATGCTTTCACTTGAATGAACCTAAGAATAGACATAAAGAAAAAGTGAAAGCGGAAATCGATGAAGGAAAACAAAAGTTGCAGAATCTGGGATGAGCATGCAGTCTAATCATGTCTAAGCATCCAATACAAATGCATAGTGGTGTATACAAACCATATTCTGTGAGCACCTCTCTTTAAGTCAATTGCGCACTTGTAAGTTGTATAAGTACTATAAAGATGATTATGTACCCTTCCTGTAGATCACAGTAATTACAATAATCCTCCGGCTCACATTCTTTCGATAAAAAAAAATATCGTCTGCACTTGTTCTTTTCACTCTATGTTTAAATTTGGTTTCAGTTGGAACTAGGGAATCTGAAGAAAAAAAGGGAAAGACTCTGAAATTGTTTGTATTGATATCCTCAGTTCAAACCAAGAAGTCATTTTGCTCCTCTGCATTTTATCACGCAGTACGTAAGCCAAAAAAAACGAGGAATTAGCTAGGAATAGGATTTGTCACTCCATCGTTGGCACTTCCACAGTTCCTTTCTGATGTATGATTGTCATATGCTGATCCTGATGTCATCAGAAAGGAAATAGGATGACGATCTTGAAATGCTACTAAATAGAGTGGAAATCCCTCGCTCGGTTTTTTATGCATAGCTTAACAAGCAAGTTTAAACCGGAATTCAGGTACTATGACTTATGAGCAGCCTCATCAGTATTATACTCAACATGATCTGCAAATAGTCAAATGTCAAACAATTCCCTTGCTATCATGGCACTGCTAGCATTGTTTTCTATCCAACGACGTCACAAGAACCACAGCTAGATCATGCATGTTGCAAGCTAAGATCCGCCAGGATATTCCCGGCGATTCATTGGCCCCGGCATACACAGACTAATATTTCACCTCATTGTATACTGCTACACGTATGGGTTCGTATATTGTATACAAATACAAGTGAGTAGTCCACTTGCTGCCCTCGAATAAAACTACGTCTGAACTTTTCATGTATGTCATGTATGCAAGTACAAGTAGTGCCATGTATGTATTATACAAAAATACTCCGGCCTGGGGATTGACCTGAGGTTGCCTTCATCCAATCACCAGCTGCACGAAGAAAATGGCTTAGCTCGATCTTGTACTGCAGTCTGCAGGTGCTGGTGCTCCTGTTAATGGTCATGAACTTTCTAGGTTACCAAAGTCAGCGCAGGTGTATGTATGTATGTATGTATGTATGTATGTATGTATGTATGTATGTATGTATGTATGTATGTATGTATGTATGTATGTATGTATGTATGTATGTATGTATGTATGTATGTATGTATGTATATCCATGTATGTCTGTATGCATATGCATATGGTGAAGAAGATGATGTCTTGAAGATGTGGGCATGGCGTAGCAACAGCTAGGGTGACCTCGATCAAAGAAACGCACCAATTTGTAATGCAACTTGTTTAACAGAGCAACTTGTTCCATCCCTCGCTGTGTCTGCACTTGCAGTTGGTTTCAAGTGGAGTTTCAGTGATGCTTGAGCCAAGTGAACGATTGGCTCCTGCCTCCTCCTCTCCTATTCTTTTAGGAGCAACAAGATCATATCAAATCAAATATTCATCTGGCTATATGTGGTTGCGGAGGCTAAAACGGTTCCATTTTCTAAAAAGATCTTTATTAATTAAATATTACTCAACTGAAAAATATTACTCAACTGATTTGTTGAAAAATATCGAAAGAAGAAACCAGAAAAACCCTGCTTGTCCATATCTTCGGTAGACAGACATTGAGGACAACTATAACCCCTTCAACGAGCTTCGACGAGCTTTTATCTGGGCAGGCTCCGACTCGGTGGCTGGCGGTCGCTGCAAGGTGGCCTGGACAATTGTCTGTCGTCCCAAGGAGCTGGGCGGCCTGGGCATTGCGGATCTGACCAGGGCCGGTGTCGCTTTGCGGACGCGGTGGCTTTGGAAGGAACACGTCGAAGGGATAGCTATAAACACCAAGGACACAATTTCGCGCTTGCTCGTTCCCGTGCAAAGAACGGTTTTCACCGTGGGCGACGGAGATCGACCCTTTTTACGGACGGACCACCGCTGGCTGCAGGGCTCTGTGTTCGTGACATTGCACCAACCGTTTTTGCTACGGTTACGTCGCGAAAGAGAAGGGCGACAGTGGCGAGGCTATCATTGATGATGCATGGGTACATCACATTACAAATACCGCCGACAACAGACAAACCGCTAATTGAGTTTGGTAAGCTCTGCGACCTCATTGAGGGGGTACAACTCACGCCAAACCCGCACACTATCACTTGGAAGTTCTCGAGGATCGCTTACTCGGCGGCCTCGGCGTCGGCGCCATCGTTCCTCGGTTGCTCCACTCCACCGGGCGCAAGACAGATCTGGAAGACCGTGCGCCGTCGTGAGTGCGCTTCTTCTTCTGGCTAGCCATGCATGACAGGTGTTGGACGGCCGAGCGTCGATTTCGGCACGGCCTACAACATTCCATAACTTGTGTTCTGTGTGATCAAGAAGTGGAAACGATGGACCACATTCTTCTTGGATGCTCCTTCAGCCATGTGGTTTGGCACATTTGGCTGTGCAAGCTGCACCTGCAAGACTCCATTGTACCCAGCCAGGAATCGGCCTTGCATTGGTGGTTAAAAAACAGGAAGCTCATCCCCAAGCAGCAGCATCGTGGCTTTGACTCATTCTTCTTCCTCATCGGCTGGACGCTTTGGAAGGAGCGTAATGCAAAAACCTTCAATAGCTCGATAACCACGGCTTAGCAGCTCGCGTTATTGGTGCAGGACGAGGTGGAAGCCTGGTGCACGGCCGGGTTCAGGCGCCTCCGCTCACTCGTGGCCAGGATGTGAGGCTTCCCGGCTGCTTCGTGTGTTTTAGTCGTAAATTAATTGCTATGTAATCGCTTTATGGTGCTCGTTGTTCGTTGGAGTCCGATAACCTTGGATTACCATCTCCAAGTTGTTGTTTGAAACTCCTTTCTTCTTAATGAAAAATGCGCTTCGGCGTGGTCGGAAAAAAAAAACTATAACCCCTTCATAGGATTGTAGCTGAGCGGCAGCAAGTAGAAGCAAGCTAGCAGGGGGCAGGGCAAATGATTGAAATTGGTATGACCAAGTTTGGATTTATAAAGGAACAATAAATGGGATATAACAAAAGCTACCATAGCTCAAGCTAAGGTTTTAAATAAACACAAATTGAGCACACAAGGTGATATGATGCAAAGGGAAAATATATTCATATAGAATGGAAAAGCATGTAAATTAGCTAGAAATCAAATTTCTTTTTTTAACGAACCAGCAGGAGAGTTGCCTGTTATATTAAAAAGGAGGCGTGCCCTGAAAGGGACTATATAGAGATAACGCCACAACAGTAACAACAAAGTCCTCAGTCCTCACAGGCCAAAACATTTAAAAATGTTGCACATGAAAAAAATTGTACGAGTGCAAAAAAACTAAAAAATGTTGGAGTAATAAAATATCACAACTGGATAAATAGCAGAACCGTGTATTAAGTTAGGAAATTGATGAGTGAGAGAATCCAAGGATTTTTTTACTAAATGTGGGCCCTAAGTTTATCCATAAAAGTTTTAACCATGACTCTTTTAAAAATATAAGCAATTTGGACACCCATAACTAATATATAACGATATAAATTGGGTATACTAAAATAAGAGGCCGAGAATTCCACTTTTTTCTTCTAATGGTAAGGATTCATATAAAATTCAAACTTTTCGTCACGAAAAACATTGTACAAGTTTCTAAAAAAAGCTGCAAATGATATTTGAGTGTTTCTCCCTTCCCTAATACCCAAGCTTTCCTCTCTTTTCCTCTTCATCATCACTGAACCTTTGGCAAAATCCACCCCTAGTGTATTGTACCTTACTAGGGTTGGGTTTCTTCATAGGGTCAGGATTTAACTACTAAAAATAGATTTCCCTGGTGCAAATGGGAATTTGGGGTTAAAATTTGCCACAATGCCTTTGAGGGATTTGGGATAGAAATTTGAAGGATTTGGAGTTTTTTTTGTGAGAAAAAAGGACTTGGAGATTTAGGGCCTATTTGGATCCATTAGCACTTAGCAGATAAAATTAGTACTAGTGGATCAAAACAGACCTACTAATTATATTATCTAGGGGGCCACTAACTATTAGTTCCATTAGATGGTTTGGAGTTGCTGATATGTGCTAATAGTTCATATGCCTATTTGAAGGTGAATCTAAACGATTTCCTACTAAAAATTAACTATCTAAAAAATAGTAACTATTAAGCTAACTAAATTTTAGTGTTAATGGATCAATCATGCTCTTAAAGGGAGAGCTGAATGTGTATCCATTTGGGGTGCAATTGAAACACGGCATGTCAGTGTCACATGTAAATAGGACAGAGTAGCCATGGATGAAGGATGTGAGAAGAGGACGTCACGACACGTTGAGCCAGAGCGCCGGCCCAATCTATCGATCCTATAGATATAGAATCAAAGCTCCAAGCTTGCAAATGCCATTTTTCTTTACTCCTGAGAATCAAAGTCAACCTGGATTACGAGGATAAAGAAGAGCTGATCGCAGATACAATAAAAACAAATGCAAGAGATAGATCCTGGTCAACTCTATAAACAAATCTTATTTGCTCCTCTTCAGCAATGTCAACGCCGGCCTAGCTTGCCTTCCTTCTTTGCTTGTTGCCGCCCATTTTTTACCCGACCGGCGCCACATTCCCCGATGCCAATCCAGATCCGGCGATGGGCAACCGCGTGGCGAGGCTGGCCACGCCCTGCTTCGCGCCGGCCGACGGTCACGCCGCGGACGACGCGCACCACTACACGGATGCAGCGGGGACAGGGGCGGCGGATGATGGCACCGGCGTCTGCCACATTCTCAGCTTAGACGGTCGCGAGGGGCGCATCCACGGCGTGCTGCTGCCGTCGAACCAGTCCACGGTGGGCGGCTCCTTGTTCTTAAGCGACCGGGCGTCCTTCTCCGGCTCGTCGTCGTTCGACAGCTCCAACTCCTTCTCGTTCCGGACGCTCCAGCCGCGGCAGTACTCGGGCCCGCTGGACAGCTACGGCGGCAGCAGCAGCATCGCGTCGACGTCGACGTCTGCGACGAACTCGGGCGTGTCGTCGGTGTCGCGGCTCCCCTCGCGCACCGACGAGCAGATCCTCGCGGACCTCTACGCCACGCGGCACCGGCGGCGGCAGGCGTCTTGCAAGTCCAGCCCGCTCCTCGGCGGCCTCCGCAGGGCCGTCGCATCGGTGCTGCGCGCGGGGCCGTGCGTGTCCCCCGGCGGCGGGAAGGACCACGCCGTGGCAGTCGGCAACGGTGTGCCGGACGTCGACGGCGGCGCGGCGAGGGTGCAGTGGGCTCGCGGGAAGGCCGGGGAGGACAGGGTGCACGTGGTGGTGTCGGAGGAGCACCGCTGGATGTTCGTCGGCATCTACGACGGCTTCAACGGGCCCGACGCCACCGACTACCTCGTCGCGCACCTGTACGCGGCCGTGTGCCGCGAGCTCGACGGCGTGCTGCTGCGTGCGGAGGAGGAGGACGACGAGGAGGAGGAGGCGGCGCGGTGCAACGGACGCGCTGGCGCGCGGGCGCGTGACCACGACGTGCTGGACGCGCTGGCCCGCGCCCTGAGGAGCACGGAGGCCGGGTACTTCGCGGAGGCGGAGGCGCGCGCGGCGGAGTGCCCGGAGCTGGCGATGATGGGGTCGTGCGTGCTGGTGGCGCTGGTGAAGGGCGCCGATGTGTACGTGATGAACGTCGGCGACAGCCGCGCCGTGCTTGCGCAGCGCGCCGAGCCCGACCTGTCGCGGGCCCTCGTCGGCGACCTCGCCGGCGTCAAGGAGGAGATCAAGCGGCAGTTCGACGCGTGCGAGATGGGGGACCTCGTAGCGCTGCAGCTCACCATGGACCACAGCACCAGCGTCTACAAGGTGCTTCCCATGACACAGTCGATGGTTATCATCCATTGATTGTTTGCTCGCTCTGAACGCATGCATTATGATTGCTTCTTAATAGGTTGGTTAATTTGATTTGGTCGATGATAATGAAGGAGGCGAGAAGGATCAGGAGCGAGCACCCCGATGATACCGACTGCATTGTGAATGGCAGGGTGAAGGGCTCGTTGAAGGTGACGAGAGCATTCGGCGCCGGCTACCTGAAAGAGCCGAGGTGGAACAAGGCTCTGCTGGAGGTGTTCCGGGTGAAGTACGTGGGGACGTCGCCGTACATCAGCTGCCGGCCGTACCTCCGGCACCACCGCGTGGGCCCACGGGACAAGTTCATGATCCTCGCCTCCGACGGCCTCTACGACTACCTGAGCAACGAGGAGGTGGTGGCGCAGGTGGAGGCCTTCACCGCCAGCTACCCCGACGAGGACCCCGCCAAGTACCTCAGCCACGAGATCCTCCTCCGCGCCGCCAACCAAGCTGGTGAGTGACTAGTGAGTCTCTTCAGGAATGGAGTTGAATGAAACTAGTAATAGTGAACTGAATGAAGAAACTAGTGAAGTATTTAAGTATATGTATATCTGATGGAGCTATATATGTAAAATTCTGCGATGGTGAATGCAGGAATGGGGTTCCATGAGTTGCTCGAGGTTCAGCAAGGCGACCGGAGGCGGTACCATGACGACGTCTCCATCATCATCATCTCGTTGGAGGGGAAGATTTGGAGCTCATCATAGGTTTCTCAAGAGTTGTTGTCATACTGATCATGGCGTAATCGTGGTAGCATGCAGTATACCGATTTACAATGTACACTGTAAAAAAAAGACTAATTCTTTGAGCAAAAAGTTTTGGCCGCAGTTTCTCTTGTTTCTACTATTTCACTATTTTTGTAGTTGTAGGTAAGGTGATAAAGGAGCTCTATTGTTTAAATTGATTTTTTTAGGTCAACGACAGGGGGATCAAATCGATCCCCACCTGATTTTCATTCCACTGATCCCGGAGGCCGGTGGGTGGAAGGGGCTAGGCCCTCCAATTACAGTTTAGGGTTACATTCATGACAATTCATTATAGAGGGGGAGCGTTTACATATCAAGGGCGGTACTCCATCTTTCAGCCATTGTCGTGTCTCGTTTCGGGAGTCGGCAGCTCCATGAACGCCCAGCTTCCTTGCAGGCGGTGATCAGGCGATCCACACTGGGCTCCATGTGTCTGAAGACGACCTCATTTCGGTGCTTCCATATTTCCCAGCAATAGAGTAGGATGAGGGGATGGGCAACGCTTTGATGCATCCGGGTCGGAGGTCTGGTTTGCCATAGTTCAGTGGTCTTGGCTATCTCCTCCGGCGCCCAGCCAATCCGACTCCAGAAGCCGCGCACGAAGCTGCAACCTGAGATGATGATGTGGTCTGCAGTTTCATCTTCTTGCCCACATACCTCACATCGAGCATCATCCAAGAAGTTCTTGCGCACCAAAGATTATCTGCTTTGTATTCGGTTCTGTGTCAGCAGCCAACCCAAGAACTTCACCCTAGGCGAGGCGAAGCTTGTCCACACAAATTTGTAGTACGGGCATGCATGGTCACCGCATGTTGATGTTCGGTATATGACTCCACACAAGAGGCGGTGGCTGTCATCTTCAAAGAAGCTGGAGCGTTGATTTGGGGTTTCATCGGGACTGACCTCTTGGAGAAGCTCTTCAAGGTGGTCGAGTTCCGCGGTGGCCTGAACGGTGAGTCCGCGCTAGAGGAGGCTGCGCAGGCCCGTGTCCCCAACGTCGCGGACCGACGTCGCGCGCCCACTGAAATGGCTGTGGAGGGCCGGCATTTTATCGGCTAGTGGGCCATCCAGGGGCCAGGTATCTTCCCAGAAGTAGGTGTCCCGGCCGTTGCCCACTGAGACCGACGTGGTTTAAATTGAAAAAATTGAGTTGGTACGTCGGGGCCACCTTCGCCGTCGCGCTGCTCCTCGCGCTCTCCAGCTACGCCTCCGTAGTATTCCCCGCGTCCGGTGGCCGCCGCGGCCCCGCCCTCGTAGGACTCACCCTCGTCCGCCGCGCCAGCGAGAAGGGCGCGCGTGAGTTCCCGGCAACCCCCCACTCCCTTGTTTTGAAATTTCAATTTCAAATTTTGAACAGCCGTTCGTTAGTACTTCGTACTCGTACGTACTGTACCGCGAGTACTTTCCGCCCAGGAATCGGCATCGGGATCTGAGTCGGGTTTCTGCTCTGGTTTTTGGCAGTGTGCTTGGATGGGAGCGCGCCCGGGTACCATCTGCATAGAGGGTCTGGGAGTGGATCGCAGAGCTGGCTCATCCACTTGGAGGTAGGTGACGTTTTCGATCGACATCACGTTTTGATACGAACCCGTGCGCCTTGGGTCTCAAAGCTCGTTTGGACAATGCGTGCGTTGTGAATTTCAATTCCAGGCATCGGATTTCGTAGCAATGTGGTGATAGGTACTATTTTTTAAAAGTGAAGGTCTAAGGAAAATGCAGGAGCACTGCAGCGTTTTCCATTTTGCAGCGAAGCATAATGCACGACAGCTACAACATAATCGTCTGTTGTTTGTTCCCTAACTTCTCTATGTTTTGCATCCTTTAGGGTGGAGGCTGGTGCCGTAATCTCAAGTCATGTGCCCTCACGTCAGAGATCGATGTTGGGCTCATCCCGGTACATGGAAGGCCAGGTTGAGTTCACAGGGATCTTGAGCGATGATAAGTCTCAGAATCCCAGTATTGAAGTTTCCCATCTCTCTGATGTTTGTTACCTTGTTTTTTTTTTGTCTAAATTGCAATATTAGACCCATTAGCATGTCTTCAGAATTGGGCACTAGTGCCTGCATATAGGTTTGACTGTACGATTTACACTTTTTTTAGAAGCGTTGCTATTTTGCATATTAACCAATTAAGTCATATTTCACTACAATGTAGGAATCTGATATAATATTCATGAAATGTAACTAGCTAGCTAGCCGTATGCACTTTCATATTGTTGTACTAGTGTTTTAAGTTCCAGTTAACTATGAATCGCCTTGCTTCTCGACAAGATAGGCGCCCCCTGTAGTCCTGTAGTATTTACATGCTTTCAACTCCGTCTTAATTTCTCGCTTCAAACAGTTAATTCCTGATCCTTACTTCAGCAATTAAATAGTCATCCTTTTGTATTACTCCTATGGCACAATAATATATTCATATGCTCAATATCTCTGCTATCAATTTGCAGACTTTTACAACTGGAATAAAGTGAAGATAAGGTATTGCGACGGGGCATCATTCTCTGGGAATGTAAAAGATGAATTGCAGGTCTGATTTGCTTATTTTCCAGCAAATTCTGCTTAATACTCGGTCAGTATAACGAGTCTTATTCTGCAAATTTGTGCAGAATGGCACAAGATTCTTCTTCAGAGGCCAGCGTATCTGGGAAACAGTTATGAACGAACCTGTAGTTAAGGGGCTCAGAAATGCTAAACAGGTCATTCCTTGCAAGTAGAATCGATTTCCTTTTTCTTAAGAAAAAATAGTACGGATTACAATAGTACTAGTCTCATGTACTTTTGCATTCAATGAAAGGGTCTCTCTATCATTAACTCATTGTCTTTGAGCTACTAAAGGACTATTTTGGATGCATTACGTTGATGATTTTATTCCTATATAGCACTTTGCAAGTTTAGTTCTAGGTGTGATTAGGAATGTATATATTGATTGCATACTACTTATTTCATCTTTTCCCATATAAAGTAATTATAAACCACTGTACTGATAGTGTGACGCTGATATTCTATTTCCAGCTTTCAGGCTTTCCTAACAGGATGCTCTGCTGGTGGGCTAGCCACTTACATTCACTGTGATTCTTTCCGTGCGCAGCTACCAAAGGATTCTAGGGTAAAGTGTCTCGCAGATGGCGGTTTTTTCCTTGATGTGTATGTCTCTAGCATCCTGTGACTGATATTGATACGTTTTGCCATTTATTTATCTGTCATCTGTGCTGTGTGGTTTATCCTTTCACATGCATGTGTAGTTACTCTACTCCTCTTGATAATATGAAGGTTCCACAAGCTGCTGGTGGCAGGAAATGCCAGAATTACAAAACAGTCTAATTTAGACGTTTAGAGAAGCCCAAGTACTGTCATCTGACAGTACCAGAAATTATTATAAGACCAGAAAATGGGACCATAGTTTGAACTCTGAAATACTTGTATCTCACGACCTTTCAATGTCAACGAAAACCATTTCAACAATCAGATGCATTTTTGAACGTCAGAAACCTTATGTTAAAGGCATCACCAATCATATATCTTACTAGCTCATTTAAACATTTTCAAATGCCAGTCGCTGAGCAACAAATTTCATGTTTGTTAAATTCCTGTTACCAGTCAGGGATGAGATATTATCTTTGGAAATAAATAAAAAAAGTGGGAAATGGGAATTGTACCACTTTGCTGTGTACTTGGTTCCTATCTAATTCCTTGGTTTGTTCGTCAATTACAGAGAAGACATTTCTGGGAGAAGGACAATGCAGTCTTTCTACAGTGATGTTGTGCGCCTTAGTAACTCAAACATGGAGGCGGGCCAGGTTAGTACTTAATTTTCAATAATATATAATAATTAGCCACAATAGTATCATCACTCATTGCCATCGATGAATGTATGATATTCTAAAACTGCCACTTATACTGTTACTGTATTCCAGTGTTTCTTTCCACGTGAAGTTGTGAAGCACGTTGTCAACCCAGTCTTTGTTCTTAATCGAGCATATGATGCTTGGCAGGTACTCTTAGCCATATCCATCAAATTTCGGACTGTTCTATTTCTGTATTAAAAATATCAGTTTCGGCATACTCGTACTTGAAGATTTATGTTCCAGGTACAACATGCGTTGGCTCCAGAAGCATCTGACCCTCAGCATTCGTGGCTGGACTGCAGATTGGATATTAGCAAGTGCAGCTCTGAACAACTTGAAATTCTCCAAGGTTGACACACCCTGCATATGGCATTTTCTTGTTAACTTATCTAGCTTCCTGAATTCATTCAGTCATGTTTTGCCATGCCCATTACAAAAAAAATTACAGGTTTCAGGAAAGAACTGAATGATGCTATAAGTGAAGTTAAGCAGGAAAGGGACTGGGGATTTTATATCAACTCGTGCTTTGTTCACTGTCAGTCTCTAAACTCGTTGACTTGGCACTCTCCAACTTCCCCCAGAGTCAACAATAAGGTGCTGTAACAGTCATATATGAACTCGGTGATAACGATCCTGTGTCTCACTCTTTTAATCTCATTTCTGCTATTCTTTGCCTGCCATTCTGATCTTAGTTTTTTTTTCCCCTTTTGATGGAACAGAGCATTGCAGAAGCAGTTGGAGACTGGTTCTTTGACAGAAGAGAAGTGAAGGAGATAGATTGCGAATATCCATGCAACCCGACGTGCCACAACTTGGTCTTCGCAAGGCCTTTCAAGATATGGGCCCCGTTCGCGTGCCCTTAAACCCGGCTTGATCCGCTTATTTTTTCATCCGGAACAGTATTTTTCTTTTACAAATTCCTCCAAACTATCCAGATTCCTCCAAAATTCAGACAAGCGAACAGGCCCATGAAGTTTTGGCCTCTTGTTTTGCTGTGGTTTTGTTGTAAAATTAGAAAATAAACTTGTCATTAGCCTTTCTTGAACTTATTTTACCAAGTGGTACCCCGAAAATCATATATTTGACATATGCAAAGTATAGTTGTAAAGATATTAGAAACCATCCAATGAGCATTTACACTTAGAAGAAGCATGTTGTATCGTTAGGCCGTGATGATGCTACTGGCAAGTTTATTTTCAACTGATGCTTGACAGTGAACCTGATGAGGGCGTGCACCCGGCCTGACGGATGTTGGAGGATGAACCAATTTGAGTGGAGTTGGAGGTAGAGGCTGCTGTCGAACAAGGCGCACCTAAAACAGTGGAATTTGTACCAACAATCCTGATGCAGCCGTGCTCAACTTGGACGTGACATTCTCAGCTCTGGAGCACCTGTAGCCCTGTAGGTACGCATGCCCGTGCCAGTACTGTTTCTCTCCTTATCAATTCCGTAACCTTCTTTTCCTTTTCCTTACGAGCGCTTTCGCCATCTGAGTGAGAAGCTCCAACTCCTGGAATTTTCTAAGAATTTGAAGCCATAATAGGTGGGAGTACGGTTGAACGAACAAAGTTGGAGAGAAACCGAAGAAGATTTTGCATCGATAGAGTCGAGCAGAAAAGCGAAGTGGCAGCGGCGGCATTAGCTGTTCACTGTCGTGTTTGCTGGGCCATTAGAGCATCAATGGGCACTATGGGAAGGCAAATTGTGCTACTCTTTTCCAGTCAGTTTCAGCAGCCGATGAAGTGTGATGCCTTAGATATTTCTTTAGATTATTAGACAGATAGATTAGGTAGAGTATAAAGCATACAATGAGTCAATGACGCGTCCATTATATGCAAAGAAAAGCTTGGGAAAATATCTGGCTGAGCCTAGCTCCGTCACGCGGGTCAGCACAGCACTTGGTGAATCACGTCATCTGGGAACGCGCCCATTACAGCTTGATGAACGACCAAAGTTGGAGAGAAACCAGAGAAGATTCTGTATCTGTTTTTTTTCTTCTTTTTTTTGGCGGCTCTAGAAGATTCTGCATCGAGCGATCGAGTCGAGGAGAAAATCGAAGTGGCAGCGGCATCAGCTGTTCACTGTCGTGTGTGCTGGGCCATCAGCGGCTCTATGAACAGAGTGCTGCACGACACGAGAAACTCTTTTGACAGCTCTGAACTTGAGTACCTACAGTCCATACTCCAATGGGTGTCGTCAGCCTTGTGGTACAGATATCGACATATCGTCAGTATGGTTCTGCTGAGATATCGTCTCGTCCGTCTGGTTCTGCTCTGACGACCCTCCCTGCATCAATCACGGACCATTGGCACCAGAGCTGCAAGCCTGCAACTGTCCGGCCCGGCCATGGCGGGTCACCCCGCACCCGCAGTCAAAGGGCCCGTACATTGTCAAGCCACCACGGAAGCGAAGACCAGACCACTGTGATATTTCGGTAGGACTGAAAAATATTGTTTTGGTTGATTGTTGTGAGAAAAAAATACTATTTTAATAGAACATAAATAGTGATTTTGTGAGGTGGTCAGCCAGCTGCTGATGCTGTGCTTGTAGACCAGACCATTGTGACACGGGCCACCATTTTTTAACTTTTTTTTTTGACGTAACCGCCATTTTTTAACTGACAAAATTTGGGTCTGACGTCCTGTAGGCCGAATATTTAGCCCAAAAAACGTTGGAACAAACCTTGCTGCCACCGGCGCTGAACGACCCAGCCCAATAAAGCCACTCCATCCAGCCCAATAAGTCCTGACCTTTCCAAATCAAATGGAAAAAAAACCGTCTTGTCTTGGTTGTGGGATCAGTGGGTTGGAGTGGCTCCAACCCACGTTTTGGAGACGGCTCCAACCCTTGATTTGTTTGGTTGCGAGAATGGGTTCGATCCGTCTTCTGTTTGGTTGGAGAACTGAGATGGGGTCGGATCCATCCCATTTTCTGTTTGGTTCGATGGATTCAAACAGAACCTGCATATGGTCATCTTTGCACTGAAATGGTGAGGTTACCCTCCTCAATTTATGCAACACATAGCAATATTTGTACTCAACACATAGCAATATTTCATATGCTTGCACCATGCATCAAAGATCAGCACACAAAATAATATAACAGGCACATATAAACGTCTTGGCCATATTACAAATAAAAGTCTTAGGCCATATCCATAGGCACATTACACACTAATATTAAGTCTGATGCTTGCACGATGCATCAAGTTCAAGCCTTACACAATATATAGCAAGTTCAAGGCTTCCACATAGCAAGACACAAGCTTACTTAGACCACAAATATAAGGTTCTATGTGGTACTAACAAAAGAACCATCCCATGACTACAACTTACCCTTACTGCCCAGGGTAGTTGTCAGCAATGTGCTTTGCAACCCAATTGAATTTATGTTCAAAAGGCAAGGAGTTGAAAGCTCTAGCTATGTGAGGATGTTGGACCAAGTAGGAATGGTAGAAGGATAAGTGAGTCGAATTGAAACTACCACTCATAGCCAGCAAGTTGTCATACAAATCATCCCAAGACATCATTGTCGTTTTTCCCACTTCCTTTATCGCCTTGGCTAACTTGGTACTTCCTCATTTAATTGCAGCAACCAATGGATCTTGGTCAGTCATGGCCCTCTTCTTGCCCTTGTCCCTCTTCTTAGGATTGGTGGCCTTGGTAGCCGATGAAGTTGTCGCATTGTTGTCTTCATTTGCATTCCAATCACTCTGTACCTCCATCCTCTGCACCTCATTGTCCCAGTCATCTGTACTGTCTCCATGTGTACCTAGAGGCACACCCGAGTCCTTTGCAAACTTGCCTGTAGCCATGGTACTTCCAAATATTGTGTGCATCTCCTCAAAGTGTTGAATAGGCTTGTTTAGAAAATCAAAGATCGACTTGTGATCCTGCAATATATGTACAATTTTAGCAACTACTATTATGTGACAACTAATAATTCAAAGAACTATTATTAGATTATTATATGTGAGAACTAATAATTCAGCAAATACCTTAATATGATTGTTGTAGTGCTCATCATCAAGAGTTATAGTGAAGGTATCTTCATCCCAACCAAAGAAGACTCAAACCACGAAGGTCACATATTTTACTGAAACTTCTTTTGCCATGTCTTAAGGTGATTCTTAACCTGCTCACCATCACAAGACAATGCCAAATTTCTCTTGAAGAGCCTTTGCACACCCATTGTAGTGAACCATCTTGAAGGTGGATGAAGTCTTGGTGCCATTAACCACTAAATTGGCAAGGTATTCGAGCATGTAGGCTGACCAAGTTGAAGTCCAAGTAGCATGTCCACCAGTCCCTGCACTACCCTCTGCTTCCATTCCCCTACAAAATAAACAATGCAATATATGTCCTCAAATAATAATGCCAACAAAGTAGCAAACAACGTGGCAATCAAATATCTGTAGAAATATGTCCTCAAATACAATTTCAGCCCTCAAATACAATTATTACATTGTCCAAGAAAAAAAACAACAAATATTACATTGATCGATACTAGTTTCCATGGCTTTGACGATCTGCCCACATTTGGGCAGCTAGGCCTTCCCTAAAAGCTAGCATAATGGCATTCTCACTTGCTGTCCCAGCATATGTGGTGTGCTGGGTGTCCTCATCGTTGTCACTTGGTATATTGAATTCATCACTCCCATCTTCAATCACCTAATTATGAATGATGCAGCAAGCAACAACAATATCAACTTGAGTTTCATAAGGAAAAAAAGGAGAGGCATCATCAAGTACTTTGAATCTCCTTTTTAGTGCTCCAAATGCTTGCTCTACTATGATTCTCAATGAGCAGTGCCTACGGTTGAACAATTCCTTCTCATTTTGCACCGAATTCCTCCTCCATTCATTCAAGTGGTATCGTACACCTCGAAAAGGGGGTAAAAATCCTAGTTTGGCTCCATATCCAGCATCAACTAGGTAATATTTACCTAATATATGATGCATAGTTAGGTTACATCTCAATGATCCATTAATTTTGATGAATAAATTTATGGACAAGACATAGGTTCTTGTATTACCTTGTGGCACACGAAGGCCACCCTCACATGTTAAAGCATCACGTAAAACTAGTGCGTCATGTGCTGTCCCCTCCCATCCGGCCAACACATAGGTGAACTTTTGGTCAAAATCTACGGCTGCCAGTACATTTTGAGTACAATACTTGTATCTACCACGAAAAGCATGCTGCATTTCCTTTGGAATAGTGGCTCTTATATGTGTACCATCAAGTGCTCCTATACAATCCTACGTGATGTTCAAAGAAGTCAAGATTAGGTCAATTAGGTTTGGCAAAAAAATAAACTTAGAATATGACATAAGGTTGAGCTTCACACCTTAAAGTATGGATATCACCTTGGGTCTCCTTCAATTTTAGCTGGAGTGTCCAATGAAGGGGGCCTAATGTAATCATCTCGTAGCTCACCAATAGCATGAAGTACTTTGTTAAAATAACGACTGACTGTTTCTCCGGATCTACCAAAATTGGTTGCAATTACTCTATTCCTAACATTGTGCCCCACAGTATGCAAAAACATTGCCACTTGCTCCTCAACACACATATGAACGGTATCTTCAAGTAAACCACGATCTCTAAACAACTTACAAAACTTAAAGAAATGTGCTTTGTTCATTCTCAGCATGTTTACACAAGTTGTGTCATCCTTCCAGATTTTGTCATTGAGGTATTCCATTCTCTTCCTATCCCTTTCATATATTGGTGCATAAGTAATCCCTTCCCTTCTTGCAGCTCGTTTTCTTTTCCTAGACCGAACAACAATTGCCATGACACACAACAACCAATGTGCAGCAGCAGCAAAAACAAATGCCTTGAGCCTGTTATTCATCTACATACAGCAGCACAATCAAGCACAGCAGCACAATCAATATAGATTAGGTAGGTAAAAAGCAAATATTCAGAAGCAGGCCCCATCCAATTCCATATAAGAGGTAACATGGTCTTAAAATTCATGTAGTTTGGTTCAAAGTTACTTACAATTTAAGTCTGAGCACAATATACTACTGAAAGACCATCCATAATTTGTTTCTATTCATAGGAAAAGGGTGCTCCTAACCATCTAGGCGTTGTACGCAAACGGCGGCCCCGCTGGCCGATCAGCGGGCAGGGGGTCGAGGGGGGGGGGACACCCCCTCGCGGGTTTCAGGGCTGAAACCTCTCGGCATTGAAAGCATCTAGGCCCCTAAGTGGATTTCGGTGATTAATGTCAATACAAGATTACTATGACTAACGTGTGTTTTGCAGAGGCAATTAAGTTAGGTCATGGTAATGGAGATCGATTGGGCAATTGAGGTTGTCATGCCCCTACGATGGAAATCGTTTTGGTTTTCAAAGGATGGACGGCAAGGTTAAGGATAACTAGTTCTAAGTGTCAATTGAAGTTGGAGAGACACTTAGAGTAGTTTAGGACTTTGTTTTTCTTTTGGCCGTACTATGAAGGGGGGGTATGAACGGGTAGCTTGACCTAGTTGAGTCTAGTGAGTTAGGTGTGGTGCACACTTGTTAAAACTAGCTCTAGGTAGCTCCTATGAATGCCTAAGATCCTTTAGAGCTAACTTCATTCACATATGATCGAAAGTTGGAAGTGAATGGAGGGTCAAATACTGACCGGACGCTGGCTCCGATACGACCGGACGCAGGGTCCGGTCAGTTCATTTAACTGAGGAGAACAAGTCTGGAGTGACCGGACGCTGGAAGGTCGTGTGACCGGACGCTGAAGGCCAGCGTCCGATCGACTCCAGTAAGGGTCCAGACTTGAGAAAGTGTGACCGGACGCGTCCGGTCAGTGGTGACCGGACCCTGTGTATCCAGCGTCCGGTCGTTTACAGTAAGCATCCAAGATCGACCGGACGGTTCCGGTCAGTGCTGACCGGACCCTGTCAGCGTCCGGTCATCACTTGGAAGCTGTTGCGCGGGTTGAACTGACCGGAGCGTCCGGTCAATATGATCGGAGCGTCCGGTCATCCCGTAGAAGCTCATAACGGTTCGTTTTTCAGGCTGCCTTATAAATAGAAGCTCCACTCGAGTGTGGAGTGACTTTTTGCTCATTCCAACAGCTAAGAAACACGTTTGTGAGTGCCAAGAAGAGCAAGGTCCTAGTGAGGTGTTTGTGATTTGAGAATCCAAGAGTGAAACCTCATTAGTGAATCAAGAGTAGACAAGTGTGCATCCATCTTCTCATTAGGCTTCGCATGGTCAAGTGAGAGTTCGTGCTTGTTACTCTTGGTGATCGCCATCACCTAGACGGCTTGGTGGTGATTGGGAGCTTGGTGATCACCCGGCGGAGCTTGTGGGTGACCCAACTCAAGTTGTGAGCGGTTTTGGGTGATTCGCCGCGACGGAGTGTCGAAGAATCAACCCATAGAGAGCACTTGATCCTTGCGCGGATCAAGGGGGATTTACACCCTTGCGTGGGTGCTCCAACGAGGACTAGTGGGGAGTGGCGACTCTCCGATACCTCGGCAAAACATCGCCGCGTTCCTTTCTCTCTCTATTTACTTTGAGCACTTACTTTGAGTATTTACTTTGAGCAATTCAATACTTGTTTCACATCCATAGAATTGCTTGCTAGAGTAAGTTTGGAACATAGGTTGCGAGGTCGTTGTGCATTAGTTTGATATAAACACTTTTCTAGGCACAAGGGGTTAATTGGGCTATCCGTAGGATTTGATTATTGCAAGAAAATTTAGAATTAGCCGAATTCACCCCCCCTCTTGGGCATCTTGATCCTTTCAATTGGTATCAGAGCCTCGTGCTCACGTTTTTAAGCCTAACCGCTTAGAGCAAGATGTCTCACGGGGATGGACCTCCTCCTATCTTCGAGAGGGATGATTTTCCATATTGGAAAATTCGCATAGAGGCTTACCTAGAAGCTCTAGATGTTGGAATTCTTAGAGCCGCCTCTCAAGGGTTCCCAACACCTAAGAATGCCGCACAACTCCAAGGCGATGAAGTAAACTATGAAAAATGGAATGCAAAGGCTCGCAACACCATCTTTAGAGGCCTTTGTAAAGATGTGTTCAATCGTGTAAGGAACCACAAAGACGCCCATGCTCTATGGTCGGACGTTTGTGCGCTCCATGAGGGAACCAAGAGTGAGCGTGAGGAACGCTATCATCTTGTGATTAAAAAGCTAAATTCTTTTGAGATGCTTCCCAACGAAAGTGCTAATAAAATGTATTCTCGTTTAAATGTTCTTGTAGAGGAAGTCAATGGGCTTGAACTTACTCAAATGTCACCATCCGACGTTGTGAGAAAGATCTTGGGTGTCCTCCCCATTGACAAATATGGGCACATTGTGACCGTGCTACATCAAGGCGATCTTTCCGCCGCTACACCGACACAAATCTTGAGAAAGATAAATGCTCATGAGATGTACATGCACATCACGCCATAAGATGGCTCATCCTCTACAAAGAAGAAAGAGAAGGACTTAGCATTCAAAGCTAGCCAAGATAAGGGCAAGACAAGACTTGAGTATGAGAGCTCAAGTGATGAAGATGATGAAGAAAGTCTTGCTCTCATGGTGAAAAAGACCGCCAAGATGCTAAAGAAGCTAAACAAGAGTGGCATCAAGTTTGACGGCAAGAAGAAGAAGTTCTTCACTAGCTCAAGAAGAAAGCCAATCTCCAAGATGGATTGCTACAATTGTGGCGAACTTGGCCACCTAGCTCATCAATGCACAAATCCCAAGAAAGACAAGTTCAAGAACAAGGGCAAGAAAGATGATTCAAGTGATGAAGATGAAAAGAAAAAGAACAAGCCATACAAGAAAAGAGATGGCAAAAAGAGAGACTTCTACAAGAAGAAGAAGAGTGGCAAGGCCTATATTGTCGATGATTGGCTCACGGACATTGATTCATCAAGTGGTTCATCCGATGATGAGAGTGACAATGAGAAGGTGGCCGCCATTGCTATTGATCTTGCATCCTCACCGCCACCATCGCCATCATCCTCTACACACCTATGCCTTATGGCCAAGGGTGAACGCAAGGTAACTAAGAGTGATGATAGTAGTGATGATGAGCAAGCTAGTGATGATGATAGTGATAGCGATGATGATTCACCCACATATGATGATCTTGTCAAAATATTAAGAAAATACACTAAGATCATTAGAAAGAGTAGAGCTACAAATGAAAAGCTTGATGCTAAAAATAATTCACTCTTCGCTAAGTGTGATACATTAGAAAAGGCTAATGATGAGCTCAAAGAAACAAATGATTCTATAACATCCAAACTCAAGGAGCTCAAATCTTCTAAGAAAGAGCTTAAAGATAAATATGATAAACTTGAGTGGGTGCACAATGAGCTTATCATTAGTCACAACAAGCTAAAAGATGAATATACAACTCTAAAGATCAATTATGATACCCTTGTTATTGCACAAGAATTCTTACCAAATGAGCCACATGTTGCTACTAACCATGTTGTTAAGATTGATATAGCTACCTCATGTGATGATCTAATTGATGAGAGTATTAAGCATGGATCTAGTAGCAAAGGCAAGCAAGTGGTTGAGTGCAATGACTATGATGAATATGTCAAGCTCAAGAGTGACCATGAAAAGCTCATGAAAGATCTTGAAGAGATGAAAAGTCACAACACCATTGTGCTGGAAACTCTTGATCATGACAAAGAGTTGATCCTTGAGAATGAGAAGCTCAAAGAAGAAAACAAGAAACTCAAGGAAGAGAAGAACAATGATATTCTCAAGGAAGAGAATAAGAAGCTCAAGATGGAGAAAGAGCATCTCAAGGTGGGATTGAGCAAGTTTGCTAGAGGCAAGCATCTCTAAAGTGAGCTACTCATGAATACCGTCATGAAGATGGATAGAAGTGGCATTGGTTATATGGCAAGTGTAGAGAAGAAGAAGGCTCAAGCTCAACACCAACAATCAAAGCCAAAGCTAAAGCTAAAGAGATGTTTTGAGTGTGGACAAGAAGGCCACTTTGCTCATGAGTGTCAAACTCCACCACCACAACCCTTGCCCAAGCATGCTAGACCATTTGCTTTCAATGCTCACTACATGCTTAGAAAAGATTCTAGTATAAAGATGAAAGTCATGTTCTTAGGACCCCCCAACAAGAGTAGGCCTAAGAAGATTTGGGTGGCTAAGTCACTTGTTGAGAAGGTGAAGGGCCCTCAACAAGTTTGGATCCCTAAAGCTTGAATCTCTTGTGTGTAGGTGAACTACAAGACCGGTGGAAGTCATTGGGTTATTGATAGTGGTTGCACTCAACATATGACCGGTGATCCTCGTATGTTCACCTCACTAGATGAAGAGGTAGATGGACAAGAGAAAATAACATTTGGAGATAATTCAAAGGGCAAGGTTAAAGGATTGGGCAAAGTGGTAATATCAAATGATCATTCCATCTCCAATGTACTCTATGTTGCCTCATTGAGTTTCAACTTGCTATCCGTTGGGCAATTGTGTGATCTTGGCTTCCAATGCTTATTCACCGAGAAGGAAGTTGTTGTATCCAAAGTAGATGACAAACAAGTGATATTCAATGGATTTAGATACAACAATTTATATCTAGTTGACTTCACCTCCGAAGATGCAAACTTGAAGACTTGCCTATTCACCAAAACAACACTTGGGTGGCTATGGCATAGAAGAGTTGCTCATGTTGGGATGAGCTCACTTAAGAAGCTTATAAAGAATGATTTGGTGAGAGGGTTGAAGGATGTGAAGTTTGAGAAGGACAAGCTTTGTAGTGCATGTCAAGCCGGCAAGCAAGTTGCAAACACTCATCCAACCAA